AGTGGCTGTAGGGTGGGGGGAGGGGGAGGGGGAGGGGTAGGATACCAAATCAGTAATGTGTTTACTTTGCCCCCAGAACACAACCAAACTTGACAATTCAAGTCTCTATCCAACTTGATCACAATTTACATTGTTATTATTATCAACATCGTTATTTTATACTTAAAAAGGCACAATCTATTCAATAGGGAAAAATACAGAAAATTATCCCCCTAAAGAAAAACACTATAAAAATTTCCTCAAATTAACTCTCGAACCTTCATAAAGCACACGTGGGTGCACATGAACCAGTAATTGCTGTGTCGCTCACACTTTTTGATTGGTGTCTCTCTGCTCTGCCCACCCTGCCTTCCCTCCCTGGGATGCCTCCACTTCTGTCTCTACGTCAAAATACGTGCCTCTCAAGGCCAATTCCTCGTCTACCATGATGCCTTCCGGGTCTCATGGCAACACCAACTCAAGCCCGATGTAATCTCTTCCACGCACTAACGCCTTTTCTGTAACTCTCTCCCAGCTCTGACTGCTATCAACTGCCCAGTGGGGTTACTTTTGTCCGTGGCACATCCTCCTTGCCTTCAGGCTCCTAAGAGAGGCCAGGTCTTCTTCATGTCTGTCTCCTCCCCCCACCCCCATCTTCCAGTCCTAACACAGCCTGGCTCACAAGAGGTAATCAATAATTTTGAATGAATGAAGTAAGAGTGAGCCCAACACAAATTCTCTAAGTGGGTGAAGCTTGCTTCTGGCATCCTCCTCTCTCCTGTCTGGTCCCACTGCCACTTCCCAGGGCTTTTTCTCTTCCGGTCCCAGTGGTTTCCCAGAGGCTGCCCACCACCCCCTAGTGGAGTGCCCAATTCCTAGCCACTCGCCTTTCAGAGCCGTCTCTCCTGAGTCCCAAGTTCCAGATGAGTTTCCCCTTCTCCTTCATCCAAACCCCATTCCCGGAGTACATAGCCCCAGTCCAGTACTGGCAAGAAAGCAATCTGATTACATAAATTCGTACTCAAGCAAGAATTTGCATTAGGATTCACCTCATGTTGAAATCCAGGCACGGTAGGACAAGCTGTAGACTGGAGGCTTCAACAGGGCTGCCATGCTGCCACAGAAACATAGCTCAGGCTGCTCGTGCCAGTAAGTAAAAACGGATCATATCCAGAGGAATAGTAAACCCGAAGCTGGATGCTCTGAGTCCCTTCCCAGATATTACAGTACATCGACCAGAATCCTCCTCCCCAATTTGCCTGAGCAACCACAGCGTTCTTCCATGTCCGTCAGAACGTCCCCCTCGCCCACCAGTTTGTTGCCCTAGGAAGGGGAAAAGGAGAGCCCCTGGAAAGCCTGTGCTGCCCACAGCTTTGTCACTCTGCTGCTGTGTTGGCCATCGTGGTTCCCGGCCACCCGCGAGCCATGACCCGCACCTCCAGGCTTCTGCCAGAACATCGACCTCCGCCCCTTCTCTCCCTCTCCAGCCAGTAGGGACACAGCTTCGACTTGTCATAATCAGCTCTTTCTTAGATGGTTCCAACCCAGAGCTCTTGGGCTATGGGCAACTCTCCTTTGTGCCTCCTCCCTCACCTCAAAGCAGCCAAGCACAAGGTAAAGCTGGGCTTGGGAGGGTCCCCCCCAGCGTCACACCGACCCTAGGGCCCCTGTCCCTTGATGTCCCCCGGCCCCCTTCCCAGGGCTTGTCTCTCAGCTTCCTTCAGGGACCTTCATCCGCCAGACAGGTCTGCACCCATCTACACTCCAGTCGTGGGCTTGTCACTTTCCTTTCCAGGGTCCTCCGTCTGCACACAAATCAGCTCATGAGGCAGGCAGCGGCTTCCGCGTCCCCAAGTCTCCAATGATAGTGGAGAGGCTGCTCCCCACTGGGCACACTGACCCTCTCCAGAGGGGGCACAAGCCCACCCAGTCTGAGACTGGCACAGCAAGAGCTGGTTTTGGAGCAGGAGACCTGTGTTCAAATCATGGCCCCACCACCCACTGTGGGGCCCCGCTGTGAGGCTCTCAGCAAGTCCCCACATCTCTGCGTGTCAATTTCTGCACTTGTGAGCTGGGCCTGGTAATTCTCCCTCTGCCTTTTTCATGTAGCAGTTATGAAGGTCAACTTTGGGGCTGGGAGTGGGTGCCCAACTTAACTCACAGAGCCTGGTGCAAAGCAGAAGTCCTTACCAAGTGAGACATCACTTCCCACATCACTAAGCTCTTCCCATGAAGTGGGAGGTTGATCTCTGCAGGAAGCAGTCTCCACATTTGCCCACTCCATAAACCCTCCATCTCTGCCCCTTTCCACGGAGCCTACTTCAGGCTTTGGGTCAAATAGGTACTGGTGACCTTCCCAGAAGCCTCTGCAGAGGCCAGGAGCCAAGGGAGCCCCATGCGCAGCGCCAGGGCCTGCCCCTCCCCCAGGAGTCCCAAGCCAGGCCAGAGCTTAGAAGGAGCCAGAGTTTGGGAACCCTCCTGCATTCCATGCCCACTCTCTGCGAGGAACTTGACGTGATTTTAATTCTATAGAGTCCGTGCATTTTAGAGATGCAAAAAGGGAACTTCTAAGAGGATCTATAATTTGCCTGAGGCCACCCAGCTACTTTGTGGTAGAGCCAAGATTTGAACTGTCTGCTGAATCCAAACCTCATGAACTTTCAATTAGTGGTGACTCCACAGGGTTGGCTTATTGGGGGGGGACCCTTCCCAATCTCTGTCAGCGTCACAAAACCACCCCATAAAGTTACTCTTACCTAAGTAGACGGTGCTTAATAAACAAAAGCAGCTTCAAGGCAAATCCTCCACCCCTGCTGCCCCCATCCCCTCCAAGCCAGAATATGCTGCCCTGAGTCCCTGCTCCATAGAGATCCTGGAGCCACCGTGTTGCTTGTCACTACAAAGAGACTCTGTCCTCACGAGGAAAAGCCCCTGGAAGAGGACCCTCTCAGGTGGGACAGCAGCCAGCTTCCAGCCCTTGT